CACTGCCCCTGCTGGTGTTCCTGCTCTTGCTATCTCTGCCTCTGTCAAATAAATAAATAAAATCTTAAAAAAAAAAGAAAGATGTATTAATAATTGCCCTGTTGGCAGAGTGCAAAGTGTGAGACTTCAGAGGGATATAAAAATTTAGTAATTTAGAAAATCTGATACCGAAGACAGCTATTGCTGCTTGGAATGCTCAGTTTAGTTCAGTCATTGAGCTGTAATAGTACTCTCTGACTAGTCAAGGTTGAATGTTCAAGATATAGTTTGAGTATTAATCATCGATTCAAATAAAAGTTCGCACAACTGGAGAGGCTCTCCTGTGTTAAGTATTTTATTCCTGAACACAGATGTAAGTTTTTTCCTTTGTGTTTTCCAGAACCACTTGAGTGTCTTCCCTACTAAACAAGCAACCTCTTATGGAATTATTTCTTGAGCTTTACTCTTTATCAACTACAATCTTTTGGCAAAGAATTCACCTAAGCTTTTGCTGATATGAATTATGAGCTCATTCAAACTGCCCATTTCAAGTTAAAGCTTTTTCTTTCTGCCTGGTAAGAAATCTGATCCTACGCTATGCTTTATTTTGGTTTACTATACAGTATTCCATTGTGCATTCACACTGTGCAGTGTTGTGTGAATAAACCATAGCTTATTTATCCATTCTACTGTTGATGAGCATTTGGGCAGTGTCACTGATACATGAAAAAATAAAGTATCCTATAAATACTCATATGCCTACAAACAAGACCCTCCACACTTATACACTGCATTTTACATTTTTTGAAGTATAATACACATAGAGAAGTGCATATATTATAATAGTACAGCTTGATGAATTTTCACAAACTGAACATAACATGTGCAACCAGCACCAAGCCCAAGAAACAGAACATGATTAATTCCTCAGAAGCCCTATTTATGGCCCCTCCCAGTCAGTAGGCCCCTTTAAAGGTAAGCACTGTCCTGACTTCTGATAGCATAAATGAGTTTTGCCTGTTTTTGTACAACACATACTCTTGTGTGTCTCGCTTCTTTCACTTAGCATCATGTTTATGAGATTCCTATATGTTACTGCATTTGGAAGTAGATTGTTCATTCTCAGTGATGTATAGTATTCCATTTTATGAATAGATCACCAATTATTTCCCCATTTTACTGCCAATGAACATTTGGGTGGTTTCCAGTTTTGGGGTTATGATAATGCTCTGAGCTGTTTAATAGATCTCTTTTGGTACACATTTGATATTGGTATATTCCTAGGAAAGGAACTGGTGGGCCATGGAGTGTTCATATGTTTAACTTGAGTAGATATTGCCAGTTTTCCAAAGTGGTTGCATTCTATACATAGCATTTGATTTCTTGAGGAATCATTCTGAGGAAGGCATTCAGCATAACCACGAAGAGAACAAGTTATGGAGTCACTCAAACCAAATTAAGCTTACCATGAAAAGCCATGCTACTTGGGCTTGATTTTTTTTTTTTTAGAGAGAGAGAATTTGCATGCACACACGTGGAGGGGGAGGGGCAGAAGGAGAGGAAGAGAGAGAATCTTAAACGGGCTCCACGCTCAGCACAGAGTCCGACGTGCGGCACCATCTCACAACCCCGAGACAGTGACCTGAGCCGAAATCAAGAGTCCGACGCTTAACCGACTGAGCTACCGAGGTGCCCCTTTGCTTAACTTCCTTAAGCCTCGGTTTACTCAACTCTAAAATAGGTACAATAAAACCTTTCTCAAAATTCACAAGAATTAACTTAGAACAGCACCTGGCACACAATAAGTACTTTACTTATTATATGGTAGTTACTAATCATTACAACATTAATCATGTTGCTCTTACAACGTAGATGATATGGAGAATTAGAAATAGATATGGGCAACATAATACACAATTTTAATTCTCTGATGGAAGAAAATTGAAACTCTGACCCAAAAGGCATTACCAATTCCAGTGAGCATTGCACTTGGACCCTGAAAAAAAATCATTTAAACATTATCCCAAAATGCATTTGCAAATTACTCTTGCCAGAGGCAAGGTTCTTGGATGCAGTGCATTACCATCCATTTTTTTTTCCTACCAGACATTACTCTTTAAAGACAGGACTGCCAAGGGCTACTCTGGAAAGTCACTAATATTATACTTTTTATTATATTTGCCAATTTCACACCTGCCTCAACCCAACCCCTAAAGTTGTGAAAAGTGACTGTAACTGCAAGTTCTTAGTTTTCACAGAAACTTATCAGTGTCTAAACACCTTTCACATTCCTAAAAACCCTAAAAATGAACCCATGTCCTTCCTTTAAATGACAAAGAACTTGCCTTTTTTTGGTAGGCATGAACTTGATAAACTTAGTGTGGATTTCAGGAGCTGCTGGGACAGCATCCTAGAGGTTAACACAAAAGTTACACTCTCTACAGAGGCACTGTTTTAGCTAATTGCTCCACGGGCAGCAAGCTCATTTACGCTAGGGAGGTAATTTTGGAAGGTGGCACCATGTTCTTAATAAATTGAATCAGATCCCTTATATTGGTCACTTTTCTCAAGAAATACAGCACACCGTCTACTTGAAAAGATATCCTTTGAGCAGGCCAGTGTAGACCTGAAAGGGATCTTTTTGAACATTTAATTGAAACTCTTTGATTTACAGATGAGAAAACTAGTCATTTAAGAGTCTTGCCTAAGGTCAAAGGGTCTGTTCCCTGGGAAGGCAGAAAGCCTGTCTTATTCACAGTTCAGTGGTTGCTCCTCTCTGCTCTTGGAACTTGTTTCCCACCATCCTCCCATCCTGCCTGCCCCCAACCTTGATTTCATAAAGATCCAGAAAAGGGGATGCTGAAGGAGTGTGACTTAAGGGAATGACCATTAAATGGCCAGAGAGTGCACGATGAGCGAGACTTGCTTGCTACAACCCAAGAAGGAAGGACCTTCCATGTTTTGTGTACCACTGAATTCCCAGCACGTAGAACTGCCTTGTACACCGCAGGCCCTAATAATCGTTACATGAAGAAATGAATTAATGAATCAACCAATCTTGGGTATGTCAGGTTATCGTGCCCTTTTCTTTACCACCTCCTTCCAGTAGTACTAAAACGTGTAGATTTATTAAGAGGAGAAAGGGTGTAGAAAGCGTAGTCTAGTACGGCACCCGACCCATTGTGAGAAATTTAACAATATCAGTTCATTTCCTTTTCTTCCTCCCCAAGTGTAGGCTCCTGGGGATAAGGGGTGATGGGCCACAGTATTTTATGTACCAGACACAAGGTGAAGTGGGTAGCTAACAGGCTGGTGAGAAAGGGTTGTCGGCGTCTTTCTGATCCGGACAGAGCAATTCCAGTGCCCCGAAAAACGCACAGCTATTTTACCTAGAGAGGCTGGTCTCTTGTTGATCGATTCTGGGCTGCAGTCAACTCTTCAATACAACTTTTTATAAGCATCAGTTACATTGCAGCGGCAGGAGGTGCAGTGATAGGAAAAGCGGGGACCCCCCTGCGCCCCCCAATAAAGGAGGCCGACTGAGGTAGGGACAGAGTTTTGCGGGTCCAACCGTCTTCGGGCTGGGGCGGTGCCGGCCCCTACAGCCCCGCCCCCTTGCCCGCCGCGGCTGCCGAAGTTCAAGTTCGGCTCCCCGCGCACAGCCTTGCGCTTCCCGCTCCGAGGCCGCCCGCGCGTCCCAGGGGCCCCCGCTGGAAGGCGAGGAGGGCCCAGAGGTCATACGGGCGCGGGGTCACTCGGTCACGCGTTGTGCTACCACGTGGGAGTAAAGTTTCCAACTCCGGCCGTGGGGCCTCTCAGTGTCCCCCAGCAGAGCAGAGGCCCGCCCTTTGGCACCCTCTCCCTTTTCTGTCGCCTGCAGTCGCGTCCCCCTCCCAGGGAAGCCCCCCCTTGTGTCCCTTCTCAGAAATCCCTCCTTCCCTCGCTGCGCAGGTCGCCCAAGATAAATACTCTGGGAGCCTCCCGAGCAGGCTGCTCCCGCGCCTCTGGCAGGCCTGGTGTAGGGGGTCGAGGGACAAGTGTCCCAAAGAGGCTGCGGGGGGCGCGAAGCTGGGAGAGCGGAGTAGACAGGGGACAGTGGCCCGCACGCGTCCCCGGTGCAACCGGCGGGGTTATTTCCGCGGCTTCCACACCCTCGCGCGCCAACTCCGCGGGGCCGCAGCCGACCCCACGCGGGCAGCCCCCTGCACGCCCCCGCTCCCCACTCCCGGCTACCCTCCGCCCCCAGTGCGCAGGCCCGACCGCCCCAGCGCGCATGCCCTGGGCTCGCGAGCGCGGCCAGCCCCCAGCCTTTTGCTTTCTACACACTCTACAACTGGGGAGGGGGCGGGGGCGGAGGGAGCCCAGCGGGCCACGTGATCCAGCCGACCGGGGCCGCGGGGGCGGGAGCGCGCGCCGAGCGAGGCACGGGGAGGGCGGGGGCGCGTGC